TGCAATCATCAACGGCTCCCTGGTCGCTGGCCCCAGGAGCCACTCACTAGACCAAAGATGCAGGACAGCACCCCAGGTCAATGAGTCATGCTGCAACAGTGACACCTAGTGGTCTCATTGGGACGCACATGGGTTTTGGAAATGGACTGGGTAGCACCCCACCAAAGGCTAAATGTCCCACTGGTGGTCTGAGGACCTGAATTGCAATGGGTCTCTTTCTCAGCCAGAGCAAACTTGCCCCATTCCCTAAGGACAGCATCATTTTAGAGAATCTTCTGGACTATGGCTTTCACTTTCCTTCTGGAGGTCGGAGTGCTGAGGTAGGTTCTCCGCAGCAGTTCCTCCCAGAACCCTGCCAATGTTAATGTGGGGTCTGAAGCTCCTTTAAAACAATCCTGTGGGTTTGATGTGAGAACTGAGGGAGGAAACTAATTCTGAAACTGAAGGAAGAGTCTAACAGGAACACAGTGCAGTTACAGCAGCATCTGATTTTGTAAAATACTAGATGCCCCAAGACAGTGGGTCCCAACCTGTGCGTCACAACCCCCTTGGCAAACCTCTATCTCCAAAAAATATTTACATTACAATTCATAATAGTAGCGAAATTACAGTTAGGAAGTAGCAATGAAAACATTGTATGGTTGGGGTGTCACCACAACGTGAGGAATGTATTAAAGAACTGTATTAGGAAGGTTGAGAACCATCGCCCTAAGGTCTGGTGCCATGAGAAAAGCAAAAACGGACTCAGGAGGGGTTTCTGTTTTCCTGAGGAAGGGAAATCTGGGAGAGTCCATGTAAGTGCTGTAGCCCTCCGCCCTGCCTCCTGAGACCCCAGCAAAGGAAAGAGCCAAGAATGGCTGGCAGGCTTTGTAGACAGCTCGAGGCCCAAGGTTTTCTAGGGCTGAGCAGTTTGGACAATAAGCCATTATCTCTAGCTTCCTCTCTGGTGACTGGACGGCCCTGGCTCATGTTCCTGTGATGATTGGGAAAGTTTCCAAGCTGTCGCCTCTGCAGAGGGAATCTCCAGCCAGACCTTCAAGGGCTAAGCCAGCCATCTTTGGGTGGGATTGTGAGCAGGTACTACCACTAACACTTAATTGGGTTTGGGTTTTTTGTTTGTTTGTTTCTAAACAAAACGGTCTCACTATGTAGCTCTGGCTGTCCTGGAACTCGCCCTGTAGACCAGACTGGCCTCAAACTCACAGAGATCCTCCTGCCTCTGCCTCCCAAGCGCTGGAATTAAAGGTGTGTGCCACTAAGCCTGGTGCACTTTGTTGTTTTTTGAAGGAAGAAAATGTTTATAAAGTCAGTACAGTTGACATTTAGCAAGCTACTTCTCTGTGCTCCCATTCCCTCCCCTGGAACTCACATCAGGCCTCCCAAAGGTGACGGCACTGAACGGCAGGTGAGGGGTAGGACGGCCTTTCCATGGTGCACATTAGCTGCGCCTTCTCCTGGAAGGAGGCTTTGTGAAGGGAAGACTCCTCCCTGTGCCAGGAACAGCCTCAGGCACACAGCTGAGGTGTAAATGATTAATGTCCTGGATGAACAGATGAAATGGGGGCAGTGTTTCTTTAGAGGCCCACGGAACGGAAAGGCTCGAGGTCCCAAGCTCCCTGGGTGCCTTGTCCTCCCTGCCTGGGAGTCCCCTCGGGATCTCAGAGTTTCCTTCCACTCCAACATGAAAAAGTACTGATTCATACAGTCCCTTAGAGGCCCCAAGAAGGAACCCTGAGGCTACTCAGAGCCACCCCCCACCCTCCCACCCCATGAACCCCATGAACCCCCCCGCTTCCCGGGCACCACAGGTCTGCACTCAGGCGCTCCGATGAAACCAGTCCATCACTAGAAATAACAACTAGTGAAAGAAATAACCCGCATTCCGCTCACCCTCAGTCATTCGGCAGTAGAGGGGGCGGGTCCCTAAAAGGAGGGAAGAAGCCAGAGTGTAGACCACAGGGCACAGAGAGCAGCAGCTCTGGGGGTCTCTTTGGGGGACTCTAAGATTGGTCACAGGAGCCCCACCCTGGGCATGAACTGATGGTGAGTACAAGGACTCGGTCTCTAATGAGAGAAACATGGAACCTCTAAGCACAGATGCACCTAAATCACTCTGCTAAACAAGCAAAGGAAAACCTCCCAGGGCCCCGGGCAGAGCTTGGCCAGTATCAGGGCTCCACAACACCAGAAATCACTGCGTTTGCAACAAAGAGATCATGAAAATTATTTTGAAAATAACTCCCTTTCCCACCACACCCCTGAAAAATCTCCCCTGGAGTTGAATTAATTCAAAGAACACTGGGAACAGGGAAATGCCACCTTCCTGAAACACCTCATGTTCATGTAATACATTCCTTTTTTTTTTTGAAAGAATCTATTTTTCTAGCTTCACAATGTATTGGATCAGTGAATCAGTGTCAGGCAGTCAGTGTTAGTCATTGCCTAGTATAAGTCAGTCAATGAATCAGAACTGGTGTCTCTCAGTCTGTCTTTCTCTGTCAGTCACTATCGGTGTCAGCCAGACAGTCACTGTCAACCAGTCAATAAAGTAGTCACCGTCAGTGAATTAATAATTAAGTTAGTCAGTGTGTGGGTGACTGTCCAACTCTAACTGCCTGTGTCCTCCGTGATCCTCAGTTTCAGAAGTCATCAGTCAGTAGGTCACTGGGGCGGCGACTCAGTGTCAGACAGTCAGTCAGTCAGTCAGTCAGTCAGCCAGACTTCAGCATGGCGCTCAGCTGGCTTCTGAACGCTTGCCCATTGCCTTTCTGTTTGATTTCTCAGCACCTCTTCCATTTCTGAGAATTGGGATACATTCCTCCACGAGGACAGAGAAGTATCTCCAGGAACTCACAACGAACTAATTTCCCCGTGGGGTGGGTCATGTCCATTTTTGCCCATCATCTCCATCACTCTTAGCTCTTGTGACAGTGAGAACTTGGTGATCTCTGAAAACTCAGATGAGAATACTAGCAGAAGGGAACGAGGTCAACCTTTGACCTTTGACTCCGAAGAGCCTCTTCCATAACCATAGGGGGTTTTACTGGTGTTCTACCAAAGCGCTCATCTGGCTCTGATCCCAGAATTGGCTCAATGACCAGGTAACAATCCAAGCTCTGTTGCAGGAAACCTTTCTGCCTTCCCCCGCCTGTATCGTCTGTGGATGAGCAGACATAAGGGTCACCCAATAGGACAAGAAGTAGCTGCGGGGGGGGGGGGTGGCCTGATCCCCAGGTTTGAACACAGTTATGGACATGTGATTTGTCTGTCTGGACAATGGCCCTCTATCTTTGAGGACTCTTCTCCCCTCCTTCAAATGTCCACCCACCCTGTGGGCTTGTGAAGAAACTAACAATCATGGTTCATACCCATGTGCTGGCCTGAGGCTGGAGCCATTTCCACCTCATCCCACAGTGACTGATTGGTTTGGGGGTGGGAATTGGACCCACATCGGGTCAATGCGAGCTCTCCTCCAGGATTTTGTCAAGGCCGCCTCATTGTTTAGCTGAAAGGATGTGTGTTTGAACCTGTTGGACCCACATCGGGTCAATGCGAGCTCTCCCCCAGGATTTTGTCAAGGCCGCCTCATTGTTTAGCTGAAAGGATGTGTGTTTGAACCTGCCTGCAGAATGGTTCTCATTGTGTAGAGAAGAGCTCAGAAGGAGATAATTTAAAAAAAAATCAAAGAAGCAGATCCAAAAGGAAAGACAAGTGGTCCCTGGTGGAGCTCACAGCCTCCAACGCGGCCTTCACCTCTGGCCTCCTGCCATTTGGTTTTGTAAGCCACAGTGGCTGCCAGAGAACCTTGCCTAACACAGTGTTGTTGCCAGGTGTGGGTATCGAGTGCCCATTTGGCAGGGGATGATCCCCTGTGTGTTTGCCCTGACTTCTGCCCTCTAGTATCTTGCATTAGGGGTGGGCTGGGACCACTTGGGACTGCGCCTGATCCTCAAGCAGAGGTCTGGAGGAGCACTTGCTCTGGATGTCCATGGAGGTGTTGGCTTGTTTGTTTGTTTTGCTATTATAAGGTGTGTGTGCATGTGTACGTGTGTGTGTGTGTGTGTGTGTGTGTGTGTGTGTGTGTGTGTGTGAATGTTCTCCTCATGCCTGCCTTCCTTCTAGAGTTCCATAGAGGGAGCCCTGTTCTGTTACACAGGACCCTGTACTTAGAAGAACCATGTACTTGGTTTAATGCTATGCTGTCACTGTCTTGAAATTCACAGTCATTTAGAAAAAGAGACCCTGTTTTTATTGTGCACAAAGCCACACAAATTACATATCTGATCCTGGCTCTATGTATCCCCTTATGGTGAGATTTGTGATACCAGTGAATCTCTCCAATTCCCTAAATCCACTGCCCTCTTCTTGTATCTCCCTTGTTCCTTAATGTCCCTTCCCCTCCTCAAGATCTCCTCCCTTCCACCCTCATAGGGGACTTTTCTCCCAGAGGCCACCAGACTTATGGCCTTATCCAAGCTACCCATGACAGCCAATATCCGGTTCACCGTGCTCCATCCGAGTTTACATCAGACCAAAGCTGGGATTCACTTTGTTTAGAACAATGCCCAGACAAGCACATTTAAATTCTGTGATTTGGCCTCAACCCTCCTTCCAGATGGAGCCTCTGGGAAAAGTACAGCCCTGGTCCTCTCTGTTGGGAGACATTCAGAACTCCGTCTGCTTCTGGGCTTAGCAGGAAGAGCTGAGCTTCAGAGGCTCAGCCATGAATCTGCAATGAGGACTGGGGTGAGCAGCCTGTGGTCTGGGAACTGGTGAAGGCATGTGCTTGCGAGGGTCTAGCTACTTCTGGGGAAAAGGTGGACTTTGCCCCCTCACATCTGCCCCTAAGGGAGGGAGAACACCAGAGGGCAACCACCGAAACTGGACATTGTTCAAGACTTCTCACCCATCCTGTTCAACTTGAAAGAAAAAAAAAACGCAGTGGAGGAGACAAGAGCCAACAAGAGAAATGGATATATAGTTTGACAACAGAGTCCAAGTATGGCAAAAGAAGTTTATTTTTGGAGTATGGTAACAGCTACGCACTAGGAATGGTCCAATTATGCCTCGCATCTATGCATTTGTGTCGAAAAGACATACTACGACTTTGGAATTTTCCAAAGGTGTTTATACTTGAGATGTGCTGGGTCGCTCCCTCCCCCTCCCCCACCCCCACCCCCGCTTTTTTTCTCCCCCTTGTACCTGTCTTAATCACAGTGAACCAAGTGAAACAGCTTTACAGCTTACTAAAGCTCAAACTTGTCCTCAGAGGAAGCAGTTTAAACGTTTTCTAACTGTAAATTTGCAATGCATTGATTACCAGCAGGGAGCAGGGCCGGGGAATCAAACAGTGGCTCTAATTCAACAGTGATGAGCCTGTCTTGTGGAAAGGAAACACACACACTCAAAGAAAAAAAACTAGACGATCTAGAAGAGCGGACCCTCTTCAGGACAGGGGCCTCAAAGATAAAAAGCAACACTCTGAAAGCAGTGTCGGCTTTGAAAAGGGAGGCGAGGAACAAGTCCACAAGAAGCCATGCGAAGAATGTGGTTTTAAAAGAGGGAGGACTTACAGGAAGCCATATGGCTGCCCTGGTGCCAAGGACTGAAGCTTACCATAAACACCACAACAGCATTCTCCCTGAGGCATACCTTTGCTGTGCCAACAACAGACACAGCCTCTTAATAAAGGGGCATTTACCCCAATGCACCTACCACACTAAAGGGACGTGGGGGCTTGGCAAACAGATTCCATTGGCAAGCTCTTCATAATCCCCCTGACCAGCTGAAATACCAAGTCCCTTGTGAACAAATGAGTTACAACCTGGCAGGCTACCGTTTGTAACCAGAACATGTGGATGCTGCCTAGAGATGCCGGCATCCCTAAGAATGCTGGGTCCATGGTCCTGCATCACTCTCAGTTCTTGTTCCTTGCAAATGAGTCTCTTCTCCCCCAAACCCAGAGTCAGAGCTGTTGGTATTCAGGCATATGTACTGGCCTGCCCTTGGGGTTCTGACAGGATACGCCCTTAGCTGCAGCCACTAAGAGCACCACCTGTGCACATTCACTATGCTCCCTTTTAAAAGGGCCCTGCCTATCTCTCTCTCTCTCTCTCTCTCTCTCTCTCTCTCTCTCTCTCTCTCTCTCTCTCTCTCTCTCTCTCTCTCTCTCTCTGTGTGTGTGTGTGTGTGTGTGTGTTTGAATGGTGTGGTATGTATGTACAAAAGAGTGAAGGACTGGTGAGGAGACCCTTGGAATCAAGTACCCCTGGGCACCCACAACTCCTCACAGCCCCACAGAAAAAATTACAGAAGGCTAGGCTCCCACATGAGTGAGGTTAGCAGTGGCGACATGAAAACTCCAGGCATCAGCTCCTTCCTTCCCATGTCACCTGACCACATTTTAAAACACTATTCGATACCACAAAAGGCAAGATTATCTACCAGCCTTTTTCAAATTTTAACCATGACCCACATTCTCATGGCTTCCTAGAGTCTTACACACACACACACACACACACACTTACACAGCAAGAGGTGATTACTTGAGTGTTCTCTTTGATTTGTGGTGATGGCCCGCCGAAACACAAACCCGGATGTGTTATGAACAGATCAGAAATCAGCCTGTCTATTCAGATGGCCCTGGAAGCATCATCAAGATCCCCCCCGGGCATCCACCACCGAGGATGAGAAGCGAGTCTCCCACGGACAGGGTCCAAAAAAACGGTGACTCGCATCTAGGTTGGCAACCGTCTTGTATCCCGGAACCTGTCCAAACTGCAAGTCAAGCCTGTCCCTTAAGGGTCCCCCAGCCGTGCACCAGTCCTTTGGGATCTCTGCGGGAGGCTGAGCAGAGCCAGGTCGGAGAGTGCAGGATCAGAGGCCATCCCAGGGTCCACTTGATCAGCTGGGAAGGCATTGTGGAAAGGAGTGCGTGCGCCCCAGCCACTGACTGCTGGCTGTGCTGACCCCGAAGGTCCTCTAAAGGTGTCCTCGCCCCAAGCAGAGTCGGCCCAGGCCGAGTGACTCAGATAACGGTAGGAGCTGGGCAGGAGGGTCCACGAATCTTCCAGAGGTCTGCGCTGGAGAGATAAATCACTGTGCATATCCCCGGAACCGTGCTCTTCTGGGCGTCCGTCTGGCGGCTGGGCCTGCGGGCAGGTTGGGGACCCAAGATCGTCCGAGGAGAGCGGGCAGGTTACAGTCCGGAGGCATCGCAGACCCGGCAACCTTGCGGTGGCAGCGCTACCCGCGCAAGGGGATGGCAAGGCCCAGGACGTGGGGTCACCCGTGGGCATCCAGTCGGGCTCACGCGTCCGGGTCGCGACGCCCCTGGCCCGGGTTTCGCTGAAGGTCAGCTGCGAGAAGCTCCTGCTCAGGGCGGCCAGGGTCGCGGGCTGCTGCGGTGGTGGGAGGCTGTGCGCGCCGGGCTCCCGGGGAAGCAGCCGGACTGCTGCAGGGCTGCTCCGGACACTCGGTAGCCGCTGCTCCTCGGCGCCACCGCCCGGCCAAGCCCGCGTCTTGGCGCGGAGTTCGTCTGCCACCGGCAGCTGCGCATGATGTGACCTCTCCGGGTGGTAGAATCTGCACTTGACCCCGTAGGTGCATTTCTTGCCTAGAAGGGGGGCAAGGCGAAGAGGGTACCGAATGAGACCTGGAGTGAGCAGAAGCTCGCCATACCTGGCCCCATGCCCTTCCCCAGCCCGCTGACTCAGCCCATGAAAGGCCTCAGATCTGGAAGGTGAGTCAGGTAGCAAGCGTTCTGGGATGGATGGGAGAGGGTGCTCAGAGCTCTGTAACCCCACAAGGCCAGCCGAGTAAGCATCCATGCAGGAACCAACTTTGAGAAGAGTCTGAGGCCAAGCTGGGTCTGGTCACCCTTAGCTTCCTCCACCCCAGGGACCCTGTGGAAAAGGCTGACCTTGAGGATGGAACCCGCAGTAGGGCTGCTGATGATGTAAAGTCATGCCTCTAGCAATGCCTCAGTTTTCACTAATAGCCACATCAGTCCCTGTACTAACTGTTGTCTTCTCCCTATACCTGTTCTAACCCGGGTGAACAAATGACCAATCGTGCCCATCTAAAACCCAAGCGCTTCAGAGTGATCCTCAACAACCTGGGCCAGCCTGAAAGGATAGGTATGTTAATTCTAACAAGAGATCATTTTGGATGTCATCCACATCTTAATGAACTTCTTTAAGCACAAAAGCCAGGAGCTTAAATAACTTGACAAAGCATATTCATGGAAGAACTAGTTAGACATTTGGGATGAAACCCTTAACTCTGAATGGCTAGCTTGGACCAAGTCTGTAAGGTGGGGGTCAGGGTGGAGGGACAGTGGGGGGGCAGGATAAAAACATAAATGCCAGGGATGCAGAAAGAGACTGGGAGAAAGAGCTGGGGGGTGGGTGCATGGTCTGCCTCCCTCTGAATGTGGTTCTCCCTCTGGCCCTCGTGGGTGTCAATCCTTAGAGAAACTTGGTTGGCAAGCTGCAGCCCAGAAATGCTAGGCTTCTCTCCAGGGTCAGATAGCTCGTTGAGGGCAGAACTTGCTTGGGCAGGAACTCAGGTTACTGACTGTCAGGCTAACGCTTCCCACTGTGCCCTATGCTGCCTGTGCCAGTTCCAAGACAGGACGTACAACGCCCGGGTGCTACCCACCATAGGGACAGTGCTGCCAGGAAGGCTCTGGGGGCCTTGGCTTCTTGCTTAGGAAATTGCTCAGGGTTGGTCCACGGCGGCCCAGGGGGTCATCAGGAGGCATGAACCTGAAACATAACCATAGAGGGACCACTTCAAGAGCGAACGGGACTTACCACTGGTACCTACATGGAGGCTCAGGAGAGGAGGCCTGAGCCACCCACAGAACACCAGATGGCATGGGCCATGTACACAAAAACGTACAGGCACCACAGCACAACCCTGGCTTCACACCAGCCTCTCCCAATGTGGTGCTGGCCAGTCGGTTCAGAATCACCCCACAGCTTGTTACGCAAATGCAGCCTGAAGCTTTCGTGCTGGCCCTGTTAGGGCAGAATTGGACTTTTTTTTCCCCCTCTAGGAATTTATATATTAACTTCCTAGGTGCTTTTTATGCAGGAAAAAACCCATAATTGTTCTGCTCCCCACCCCTTTCCCGTCACCCTCATGAAAGCCTGAGAAAGTCCACGGCATTAATGGCTTGTGGGAGGCTTGGGAATTGTGCAAGATCTTGGAGGCTTAGGTCTCGTGATGGTTCAATTGAACTGTCAACTTGATGAGAATAACCTGGGAGACGGGCCCCTGGGCGTGTTTGTGAGAGGGATCCCTATCAGGTTAAAGGAGGTGGGAAGGTATACCTTTAACAGCCCACCATTGCTCTGAGCCTCTGTCACTCACTGCTTCTTGACTGCAGAAGCAATGTGACCGACCAGCTGTCTCAGGGTCCTGCCACTGTGACTCGCTCACTAGGATGGGCTGTACCCCGGAACCATGAATCAAAATACACCCTTACGCTGTTTTTTACCAGGGTATTCTGTCAAAGCAACAGACCAAGAAACGGAGATAGGCCCCTTCCACCCACGTACACCACGCCTCTCAGCTCTGGCAAATGCAAATGGAGAGTCAATATTGGCTGTCGAAAACACCAGCAGGTAGTTAAGTCGGTGGAGAAATAGACTCCTGCATACTGGGCCTCGGCCAGCCTCATCCCCAACAGAAGGGAGTGGGTGTTCCAAATGTTCAGGGCGCAAAAGCTGGGCATTGGTCACTTATACCGCTAACCCCACGACTGGGGAAGCCGAAGCAGGCCGGTTGCAAGTTCAAGCCAGTCTGAGTAATTTAGTGAGACTGTAGCGCAAAATAAAATTTACAAAAAGGGTTACTGATGTGCCTCTGGTAGGGTATGTGCCAAATATATGCACAAAGGCTTGGATTCAGTCCCACAAAACCAAAATTCTTCTGAAAAGAATAAATAAAAACAAAGGAAAATTCTCCCATTTACTAAGATCCTGTATTTCCAATAAATCCTTTAGTTCCCAGGAGCCCCTTCCATTCCACACAAAAGTTCTAGAAGAGGACTAAATGGGGAGAAGAGCTGTCTTTGCCCATGACTGTCATCCACAAGTTGAGCGAGTCCCACCCAGCGGAGAGCTGAGTGACCCCTGACCCAGTGCGGGCTCCAGGGCTCAGCTCCGAGTCCCACCCAGCGGAGAGCTGAGTGACCCCTGACCCAGTGCGGGCTCCAGGGCTCAGCTCCGAGTCCCACAGCTGGCTTCTCCTGGAGTTGGGACCTAACCAAGAATCTGAGGAGCCACCCGCTGCAATCATTAAAACCTCTCAAAGGCATTACCTCCCTCTCTCTTGGGAGCAAGAGCTCTGCCAAGAGGGCCCTGTGGACATGCCCTGGGCACTGAGGCAGGCGCCATCACTCCCAGGCAGTCAGGCCTTTCCTTCTGACCCTCCACCCACATAGCAGAGGGCCAGGCATTAGAAGGACTTGTCCAGGGCCTGTGGTTGTCACCAGGCCAGAGGCAGCCATGACCTGTCCTCCCTTAGCGAGGATTTCTGCAGTCTAGTTCACGGACTTGCCAGATTCATCCAGCCCAAGCTGGACAGAGAAAGCCACTATACCACGAGCCTGGAAATGACCGTGGGGGTTACCGAGGGACAGCTGCTGAGGCCTCTGTCCTGGGCTCGGAAGGAACAGGTGGAAGTCAAGGGGGAGGGGCGGGAGCATGTCCAGACCTGTCCCCAGGAATAAGTGCTACCCCTTATGGGATACAGTTTTCTCTCCTCTTCACACCACGTCAGCAGGGCAGGACCTCTGAGGAAACCACCGGGTAAGGGCCAGCTCCTTAGCACCTTCCATTGCACTACACCACCCCCCTGACTCCAGGGTCAGGCAGTGCTCTCTTACGGGCAAGTGGACTGAGCATCACCTGGAGTGCCTTTCTCTCCCCCATCTGCTGTTTGTCTGGACAATAGTCACGTGTTCATTCTCTCACACACCCACCCATGCCTGTGTCACTAGTGACTGTGTGTCTACTATGTGCCAAGCGTGCTGGGAACAAGGGCAATCTGTGCCATTACAGAGTCCAAGACCTTGCCTCAAACCACGTGCCAGCGGGCCAGTCAGAGCTGATGGGTCCTTGCCTGGAACAGAAACCAAAGCGCTGGGGCCCTAGCCCAGTTGGTAGAACATTCATCTAGGATACACAAAGGCCTGGGCTGGTTTGGCCCTCTGCATGGTATAAACTGGCATGGGTGGCCCACATCTGTAATTGTAACACTTACAAGATGAGGTGGGAGGACCAGAGGTTAAAGGTGATACTTCACTACATGAGTTTGAGGCCAGCCTGGGGTATATAAGAGCGCCTCAGTCAGATTTTTTTAAAGATGTTGTGTTGTTTTTAACTATGTGTGGGAATGTACGCCTGCGTGTGGATCTGAATGTCAGGCCAGATGCCAGGGGTAGTGGGCTCCCTGGAGCTGAAGTTAGAGACGGTTGTGAGCTGGCTGACATGGGCGCTAAGAACCGAACTCTGGTCCACTGGAAGAGCAGCGACAAGTGCTCTTAAGCCCTGAGCCATCTCTCCAGCCCCAGTCAGCACTTTTAAAAAGACGAAAACTTGAAAGGAAATACAACAAAGTTGAAATCCCCCCTCAACGATAACTTTTCTCTAATTTTAATTTTAGATGTATGTATATGAGTGTTTTGCCTCTGTGTGCACGTGCACATGCGTGTGTGTGTGTGTGTGTGTGTGTGTGTGTGTGTGTGTGTGTGTACCACACGTATGCCCGATACCTATGGAATCCAGAAAAGGGCATCAGATCCCCCTAGAACTGCAGTTATGGATGCTGTGAGCCACTACATTAGTGCTGAGACCCAAACCTGGGTCCTCTGCAAGAGCAGCCAGTGCTCTTAACCCCTGAGCCATGTCTCCAGCCCCACCCTGCATGATGACTGTCTTATAGCTTTTACTTGGACAGAGAATGAAGTTTCTGGTGTGCAGAACACACTTTTGGTCCACCTGCTGGGCAACCTTGCAGGGAGTCGGTTCAATTGGCTGGGAGAACCAAACGGCCATGAGCAGAACTGCTTTCAGGGAAGCCAGTCACAAAAGAGAGGAGATACGAGGGGCAGAGATGACCCCTGGCCGGAAGGGGCCTGGCTAGGGCAAGCGGACCTCCATCCCTTACCTGTCATTTACAAAGGAGAACATGAGCAGTCGCTGCTCGATGAACCATTTCCACTCTGGGTTTTCACTCTGCAGGTCCCGGTAGTTGTCGTTGGAGACAATGACGCCATCCTTCTCGAAGGCCACCTTCACAATGTAACGGTCATCGTAGCAGACCACTCGCTTGCCATTGACCTTGCGGGACGGGGTGTACACCAGCACAGACTGCCGCTCCAGCTCCTCCAGCACGTGCTGCTCTGAGGCCGCAGGTGCAGACTGGAGTCAAGGCTCGGTAGAAGGGCCCGCCCCCCAACCCGGGAACGCGCCCCCCAACCCGGGAACGCGCCCCCCAACCCGGGAACGCGCCCCCCAACCCGGGAACGCCCCCACCCAAGCCATCCACCTCCATACCGGCTGCAGCCAGTCAGACCCGAGTAGGTTCGAAGGGACTATTACTGTTTAGACAATTCTTACTATAAAGTCTAGGCTGAATCTCAACTTGACAGTTTTTTCTGCTTCCTAAGTGTTGGGATTATCGCCTGCGACAGCAAGGCTGACTTACTCCTTCCCGCCTACAACCCCAGCATCGGGAAGTAGAAGCGGAAGGAACAGGAGTGCAAGGTTGCATGAGTCCCTGCCTCAAACAACACCAAAACCACAAAAGTGCATAGCACACTTAAGGCACCTGCAATAAAAAGCGCCGTGAACTTCGAGAATGAGGTGCGCCATGCCTGGAAAGTCCCTACTGCCCATCCCAGTCCAAAAGCCTCTCTTCCCCGTAAGATAACCTTACTTTTATTTTCACGGGCACACAAGTGAGGACCATTTTCAGTGTCGCTCTACCTTGGACTTTACCCAATGAACAGCCCTACCCACACTCCTATACCGGTTTCTTTGTCCAGTTACCATACGGTGGCATGGTCCAGACCGGTCCCACACGCCTGCTACTGTCGCCAAATGCGTCTCTGGCGTGAACATCCAGGGAACCCCCGGGGAGCAGATCTCTGAAATATTTTTTTGGCCTGCCAGGTATAACACGGTCCCTTACATGGGTTTATTTTGCGTTTATTTCTGGTTATTAATGGAATTGATCATCTTTGCTCACTCTTACTGCCTACTTAGAGTTTTCTTCTATAAAAGGCTTGTTTATGAAGTAGCTCATCTTTCTGTGGGTTCTTGTCCTTGCTTCAGTAATTTGGAGATGAACCCCTTCATCATTAAAATGTAAGGCATAGGGCTGGGGATGTGACCTTGTTGGCTGAGTGCCTCCTTATTGTGCAAGAAGCCTGGAGTTCAGCCCCGTCACCGAATAAAATGGGCCTGCAATCCCTACACTTAGCACTGGAAGCAGAAGCAGGCAGGCCAGGTGTTCGAGAAGGCCATAGTCTAGACTCTTCTCTCTTCCGCTCTCCCTTCTGGGCTTTTGTTGTTGTCGATGTTATTTGCTTGCTTCTTTGTTTTGTGGCACTACTGTCTGCTTCTGAGTTGAAACTCTCAACATGTCCAATTTTATTCATTTTTCTGCACAGGGCTACCCCTCTGTGGTTTATTTTAAAATCCCTAGCCAAGTATTTTGGCACACACAGCACTTGGGAGCCTGAGGCAGGAGAATGACCACAGTTTTTGGCTATCAAGTGAGCTCCTTGCCGCTAGGGCTATATAGCAAGCCTGTCATAAATAAATAAATGTATGGAGGTAGAGGACAACCTTTGAGTTGGTTGTGTCCTTCTACCGTGTGGGTCCTAGATATCCAACTCTGGACACGAATCCTCCAGGGACAACGGTAAAGCACTACAAAGGAGGACACACATTCCCGTGGGAAGGGCTTGGAGATGGCAGGCAAGCCTCAGATGTTGACAGACTTCAGGAAGACAGAAATCAGAGAAACTCAGAGGGCTGAGAAACACCTGAAGAAATGTTCAACATCTTTAGTCACCTGGGAAAAACAAATCTAAACCCCTTTCAGATTTCATCTCACCCTATCAAGAATGGCCAGGATCAACAGTATCAGTGACAGCTCATGCTGGTGAGGATGTGGGGTAAAGAGAACACTCTTCCATTGCTGGCGGGAGTGTAAACTTGTGTGGCCACTATGAAAATCAGTGTGGCGGTTTTTCAGGAAGATGGGAATGGATCTACCTCAAGATTCAGGTGTACCTCTCTTGGGTACACTAAGTAAAATCCCCATGCCAGGAATTTTATTTTGTTTTTGTTTTGTTGAGTCATTGGAGAAAGGGCCCCATGAAAACCCCCAAATATCAGAGACTTACAAAGGCTATTGGTTACTCTCCATAATTTGATGGTAAAGCTCTATTGCTGAAAACACTACTAATTTACATTATCAAATATGAGCTGGTGCCTAACTAGAAGCTTCTCCACTACTGACTAGCAGTCATGATACTAGAAGGTATTCTTTTGCTGATGCTGTTTTGTTTTTTCAGGACAGGGTTTCTCAGTGTAGCCCTGGCTATCCTGGAACTCACTCTGTAGACCAGGCTGGCCTCAAACTTACAGAAATTCTCCTGCCTCTGCTGCCTGAGTTCTGGGATTAAAGGCGTGTGCCACCACTGCCAGCTGTGAAAGTTGGGTAGGTAGGGAAATAGGTCAGATCTAGGAGGATCTGGGGAATCTGGAAGGATCTGGGAGACTCGAGAAGATCTAGGAGGATCTGGGGGGGTTGGGAGGGGAAACATGATCAAAATGTATTTCATGAAAAATTTTCTTCAGTTAAAAAAAGAAAAATGGGTTGGGAACCAAAAAAGAGGCTCAGTGGTTAAGGGCACTGCATGTACTCGTGGAGGACCACTGTTAGTTCAAAATACCCACAATGGGTGGATCAAACCATTAGTAACTCCAGCTGCAGTAATTCAACACCTCTTCAGGCTTCTGAGGGCAGGTAAGCACACGCGCGCACACACACACACACACACACACACACACACACAATGCATATGTCATACATAAATAAAACCAATTAAATAAGATACGTCAGACTGTAATGCTTATCTAGCATGGTCACAGCCTCTGGTTTGACCCCCAGCACTGAAAGAAAACAGAAACACTTAAAATAATCTCTAGGTCTCCACTTCCATGTCTTTAAATGGAGAGTCTGAAGAGGTATTTGGCAAATACCATTACCTGACAGGACCAATGTCTCCCTGACAGCCTATTTACTATCAGGTGCAAAATGCAAATCCAGTCTTCAGAGGGTTAAATGTTGTAAGGCACAGTTGTTTGTTTTTTTAAAGATTTATTTACTTATTATGAATACAACATCCTGCCTCCATGTATGTCTGCACTCCAGAAGAGGGCACCAGATCTCATTGTGGATGGTTGTGAGCCACCATGTGGTTGCTGGGAATTGAACTCATGACCTCTGGAAGATCAGTCAGTGCTCTTAACCTCTGAGCCATCTCTCCAGCCCGGCACAGTTGTTTTATACTACAAATCATTCACAACAAACCATAAAGTGGTGTGTTTATCTGTAAGTGAGCAAGTAGGAGTTACAGAGTATTTGTCTATTCTATGCGTTTTTCATGGCATTTCTGCTCCGAGGAAGGGCCGGGAGCTAGAATGTGAAGTGTTCATAGTCGGGATGGACTATGAATTTGTGGAACTCTCAGTACAGGGAGAAAGAGCGCTAAACCAGTACTAAGCAGGTAGTTGAGCACCACGGTGGGTGACTCTAGCACAGAACAGTGTGTGGCATACCTCTGATAGGGGTATCAGATCTCGATGGTTCTTTCCTCCAAGATGGAACAAAAACCTTGATGTAGGTGTGTCCTCTGTCCCGAAACCAGTCCACAGCCAGACGAATTCCCCGGCAAGAGAAGGCTTCCTTATTTCCATGGCTGCAATGGAAGACAAAGACATCTGAGGAGAAACAAAGGGGGACTTTCTCTGGAAGCATTTTGGGTCACAGCCTAAAAGTGAGAGGGAACTGTGCAAAGGGAATCTTAAAAACAGTCCACTCTTCCCACAGATCATAGCGGGGTACAGCTTCCGCTGAGGATACAGAGGCACTCAGGCTCCCCGGGGTGGCCGAGGAGGGGACACATTCCAAGGGGTAATTGACCTGTCTGCTCTTTAGCTTAAGGTACTAAGAGCCAACACTGAAGAAAAATACAGAGAATCATGAAATAGACAAGATCAGCCATCTGCAGAATTGCATGTCCTGTGAGAGATGATTGTACCGGCTCTGCCAGGGCTCCCAAGCCCAAGCAAGGAACCAGTGCTCCACAAATCCCACCAAAGACATCAACGCTGCAGAAAAAGGACTATGTGAGACCTTGCTGCATCTTTTAGGCCTCTTAAAAATTATCATCCTAGTCTGGTGGTGGCGGTGCATGCCTTTAATCCCAGTACAGGTGGATCTCTGTGAGTTCCAGGCCAGCCTGGTCTACAGAGTAAGTTCCAGGACAGGCTCCAAAGCTACAGAGAAACCCTGTCTTGAAAAACAAAACAAACAAACAAACAAACAAATCATCATCCTAGCCAGACATTGTGGTAAATATCTTTAAACCCAGCACTCAGGAGGCAGAGGAAAGTGAATCTCTGTGAGCTCTGGGTCAGCCTGGACTACATAATGACTTCCAGACCAGCCAGGGATGCACAGTGAGGCCCTGTCTCAAGGGGAAAAAGGATCATCTTCTTAAACAGGGAATGATGGCACATTTCTTTAATTCTTGTATCTTGGAGGTAGAAACAGGAGGATCAAAAGTCTAAGGTCATCCTTGGCTATATATTGAGGCTAGCCTGGGCTACACAAGACCCTGCTATGGAAGAAAGGGTGTGTGGGATCATCTTTCTTCATGTTAGAGGACTGAGAGATGTAGATTCAAAGGTGTTTTGTCTTTGAAATAGATATAAGAATATGCTGGCCACCCATGTGTGGCTCACAAAACTTAGCTGGCCCATAGAGGACAGTGAGTTGGGCACGAGGTATGAGAGATGAAGCTTTAGGGGTCTCAAACAGGAGTCAGGGGTTAGGCCTGAGCTGCTGTTGCTGCTGCTGCTGAGTAAAAGAGGACAGATAGTGGATTTGGGGGACATTTAGAAGGTGCCAGAACTCAGTTTCTGGGTGTGGAAGTAACAGAGAAAAAGGTATCAGATACTTCCAGGTTCCTTGCATGAATGCACGGCGGGTTGTGCACTGACAAGAACTCTGGAAGAGCTCTGACTGGAGGGGAAATAAAACACTCATAAGTTTGGCTTTGGACATAGAGCGACTTGGGGAAAGTTTTGTGACTATGAGGTGAACACATTAGGTGAATAGGAAGAGGTCAGAGGAGATCTGAGTGGCAAAAGTTGTAGATCACCCTTGCTAAGCAAAAGTTGAAACCGCAGCTTGGACAGAATTACTCGACTGCCAGAAAGGAAGTCTGAGGTCTTGAGCTTGGCCTGGAATGAGTTGCTCATTTTAGGCAGGGGTAGCGGGTCTCTTACAAAAGAGACAGAAAGGATCTCTCCAAGGGACAAGAAAGAAAACAGCCAGGGGTGCTGTTCTCTGGAAGCCAGGGAAAGGGACAGCCGAGTACCCTCTGGGGGACCGGGAACCTGAAGGCTTCATTTGAACTTGCTCAATCTGGGCCACTGATGCTGGAGACAGAGACGAGTGGCTGGATCTCGGACACTGTGAAGGCAAAATCAACCCACTGAGCCATGGATGTGGTGGAACCTGACCTCCAGACTAGACCGTTTTCTGCTCCCTGATTCTCAACCTCTGGTTTTCCTCCAGCTGTTTATTTAATCACACTCCTTCCTGGATGCCATCAGTGAGCTGGCAGCAGCCATTTCTGTCTGCTCACCCAATTCACTCCTCTCCTTTCCTCCGGTTCTCTGTTAAATCCTTGGGAAAGCACCCGTTGACTTAGTAGACTCCATTACACACACAGACACTTGCTAGCATTTAAGAACATTCACCCAGCCTGACATGGTGATGCACACTTTTAATCTCAGCACTCAGAAGGCTGACGCAGAAGAATTGCCTGGAGTTGGGAGGTTAGCCTGGCTGCTTACTAGCAAGCCCTTGTCAAAACAGAAAACCAAACCACACACACACACACACACACACACACACACACACACACACACGACTGTTGGGGGAAGTCCTGTGCATTTGTCAATAAAGCACTGTTGAGCCAATAGGAATCTAGATAGGTGGGACTAGGAGTCCAGGAGAACTCTGAGAAGGAGAAACACACAAAGAGTCAAGATGTAACGCCATGGGGTAGGAAGCCCGGAACTATTCTCCAGTAAGAAGCATACTTAGATTAACAATTATGGGGTAATTACTTAAGTCAGAGCTAGCCAGTAAGAAACAAACAAGGCCAACAGCTTCATAATTAATATAGCCTCCTGTGTGTTTATTTGGGACTGATGCAGCTCTAGAACCAGGCTTCTCTCAAGGAAAAAGCTTCTCTTTACAGAATGGTGTCTAACTATGGTCCTTGGTAAGCTTGAGACTTTCCTTGTCCAATAGTGAGTTTCAGTCCAGCCTAGACTACAAAAATCCTCTTTCAAAAGGTTCAGAGTGCAGGGCCTAAGGACATCATTTGCCCAGAATGTCCAAGCCTTGGCATTATGGTGGCACATGCTTGTAATTTCAACACTCAGGAAGTAGAGACAGGACCATCAGAAGATCAAGATCATCTTTGGCTACATTGTGAGCTTGGGGATAGCCTGGTCTATGTAAGACCCTGTCTTAAAACAACAAGAAGAAAAGGAAAGGGCTTCGGTGTCTCTTCCTAGGAGAATGGGGACTGTCATTAAAGAGATCTGTCTGCAGGGTCGTATTTCATCCTTGCATTGTTCCTTTGAGGAGGTGGCTTCCACCCCATTTTACCCTCACAGAAACCAAAGCAAAGAAATATATATGCCAGCTCTCTGATCTGGTGGTAACGCAACAGGCCTAACAGGCACTACAAACCCTTCCTTCCTTTCCACAAAACCTCTGAGGCCCTGAGAGCAAGTCTTGAGCAATGAGAGTGATCACACTTGGAGGACTGTCCATGGAGAGGCTGACAGACACTGGGAACCAGCTACCATGAGGCCATGGGAAGGGAAATGAGGGCCCAGAGGGTTTGAATATTGGGAGGGTAGAAAAAGGAAGTGGTTGGTGTCCGAAACAAATTTTGCCTACTTGACAACTGTGCCCGTGTCAGCCAGTTAAGAGGACTGTCATTTTCACAAACTAGGCAATATAATTATACAGACTGCGTTCTGACTAGTGTCCAAGAAGTCCTTGTAGAAGTCAGGAGAACACAGGATGACCTCTGGAGTAAAGGGTCATGGTCATGGGGAGGGGGATGAACAAGGATATCTTGGGACTCTGAGATGGAAGTGCTGAGCTATTTCTGCCCAGTTTCTTATTGGGGGCTCAAGTGTTGGTTCTCTGAATCTGCCTAGTGAGGTCTACCCAATCCAGGCAGTGCAAGGAAAGAGGCTTGACAAGGGGCTGCCTTGGTTGCCTTCTCTCTCTCTCTCTCTCTCTCTCTCTCTCTCTCTCTCTCTCTCTCTCTCTCTCTCTCTCTCTCTCTCTCTCTCTCTCTCTCTCCTAGACAGGGTTTCTCTCTGTGTAACAGTGCTGACTGTCCTGGAACTTGGTCCTTGGACTCAAAGTGATTCACCTGCCTCTGCCTCCTGAATGCTGGGATTAAAGGCGTGTGCCACCAACGCCTGGTCTGCGCTCTTTTTATGAGGCAGAAATTTGAGTAGGCGCCCAAGACCCCAGCCCAAAAGTAAAATGGCACCTGATCCCAGGCACAGTGGTTACCATCTCTAATCCTAGTACTCAGAGGCTAAGACACAGTGGTTACCGTCTCTAATCCTAGTACTTGGAGACTGCAGGCGGGTGGGTGTATGAAGTTCAGGGCCAGTTTAGGCCACATAGCAAGACCTTGTCTTAAAAGAAAAGAAAGCAGCCTGGTGAGGGGGCTGCTGTGGGAAGAGAGGGGCCGGGTAAAAGGTAGGGAGGGGTGTGGCTTAGTGGTAGAGTGGTAGCCTAGAATGCACAAAGTCTTGGGTTCCATCCCCAGCACCACATAAAACCAAGCACAGTGGCGTGTGTCTGCAATCCCAGCACTCCAGCAGAGGAGGCAGGGAATGAGAAGATCAGGGTCATCCTCTGCTTCATAGAGAGGTCAAAGCCAGCCTTGGCTACATGAAACTGTGCCTGTATCAGTAAATAAAGTGCATCTCCGGACGTTTACCTTGAGGCCAGGTGTCTAGAGAAAAGATAGACAGCTAACATCCCCCTCTCCTTTACATGAACACACACGCACACACTCACACGCATTCGTGTGTGTGCCCCTTGAAGGGGCTGCAATGGAAAGGATTCTCTGGCCTGTGAGTCTATCACAGCCACCATTCTAAGTGCACATGATGCTTGGGGGATCCCATCATTGGCGGTGGCAGGAAGTGACTTGGTACTGGCCCTACATACCGCTGATGAAGGGACTAGGGGTCTGGGACATCCTGTCCATAGCTGGCACCCTATCCAGAGGGCCGCAAGCCACACAAGAGGGTTTTGACACCAGGCCAAAGGCCTATGGGGACATGGTTGCCTGGCCTGTAGTCATTTCACAGGCCAGACGCAAGGAGAGGGGAGACTACAGGGATGGGGACTAGCAGGGATGATGGGAAATTGCAGGGATGGGAACGATAGAGGTGAGAAGATCTGGGGACGAGAAGGTGGTGATGGGTGGCTTTGGAAAGAGCACGAAGCCCAGAGCTGGAGTTTTCTTGCTTTGTCACCTTAGGCAAGTTACCGTGTCTCTGAGGAGAGAAGTCCCCTGACAAGGAGAATGCCCTCATCTCTTTCTAGAACTTGCAAAATAAGTGCTTTGAATCT